TACAATATTGGCTTTATCTTTGCAAATTTTTAACTTATCTTATCTTACAATGCAAATGTCATTAAGTTTTGTATTCATAAAATCCACATTCATTTAAATTGGAATTACGAGTTAAACTTTCCAATTTCTAGTTGTGAACAGCAATCTTGAATATTATTCCAGTCATCAAAAATATAAATTTTTTGTAGATTTTCACTTCAAATATCAGCAGTAAATCTCTGTTCGTTTAGTTAAAATAAAAACTTACTTTAATTTAGAATATATATTTATGAGCTTAGTTTAGACAAATATTATCGATATTATTTCCATGACAGTAATTTCAATTCCCATGATTATCTTGCTTTTGGCAACTACCGAGAAATCAGATTTTAAAAAATAATCTACAGGTTAATATTCGATAATTATTCATTACTTTTGTCTCTTCTTAAGAATTTCGAAGTAACGAAAAACGTAATAAAATACTATAAGTCGGATTTATATTCAATACCCAAAAAAAAAAATATATATATATTTTTGAATGGTTCAAATTTGAGTATTACTCATTGCTTTTGGCTCTTTTTGAAATTTTTGAAATGCAAATGAAAAACTTTGATTCAGATTTATATTCAATAATATTATAATTTTTGGTGTTTGTTGGAGAATTTACTTGAGTAGGCTCACTTCTAGCAAGATATTAACTGGTCTGCATATCTTCTTCTTCTTCCTCGGCTCGTTTTACATATTTTGGCTTGCATCTTCTGCTTCTTCGTCTTCTCTGCGTGTGCTTTGCTGTCATCATCATCATCAGCCAAAACTGACAGTTAAAAGTTCACAGCAATAATCTTTCATAATGCAGCTACATTGTTTCTTCTGTCCAATTCCAAATTCAACCCTCCCAAAAAAAAAAAAAAAAAACACAAAACAAAACAATGCAAATTGTTGCCCATTGTGCCCAGTTATGATTATCTGTCATTGTTGCTGCTATTGCTGTTGTTTTTGGCTTGTGATTATAATAGTAGACAGTTTCTTAGCCAAAGAAGACTGCCAAGCATTAGCCAGTAGGCAGTAGGCAATAGGCAGTAAACAGTTAACAACAGTTAGCTCAACTCCCCAGTAAGTCACCCAGTCGGCTCAGCTCAGTTCAGTTCAGTTCAGTTGAGTTCAGTTCAGTTGAGTTCAGAGCACCTAAAGCAGCAGCAGCAGCAGCAGCAGCAGCAGCAGCAGCAGCAGTAGCAGCAGCAACGCTCTGTCCTCTGTCCTCTGTCTTCTGTCTCTGTCTACAACGCCCACAACCCACCATTCACATCATCTCTCTCTGTCGCTATCTCCCTCTCTCTCTTTCGCTCGCTACCTTTTTGCTCAGCGCCAACTGTTTGCATTACCGTTAGTAGAACAACATTGCTAAGCACACACTCTATGTGTCGTGTCGTCTATAAGTGTGCCAGAGAGCCACCCCAGACTGGGTGAACAAAAAAAAAGACATAAAATAAAAGCCTAGCAGCGACAGCAACAGCGACAGCGACAGAGGCAGCGCCAATGCTATGCTATGCTATGCTATGCATGTGTGTGTGTGTAGAGCTCTAGCATAGGTCATTGGTCTTTTTCGGCGTCAACGTACTGCGACAGCGGGGCAGCGACGCCAGCAGCGACGCTAGGCAGTCAGCATGTAACTTTGTCGTCAGTTCTTGCCGTTATTATTGCTGTTCTTGTTGTTGTTGTTGTTGGCGCTCTGCTGCCGCCTCCCTTTTTCGGGCTTGACCGGCTTAGTACCGTTAGTAAGTTCGTTGTCGTTCGTGTGCGCTCGCTGTGAGAGAATTTTTGAATTGTATGCCTTTGCTCTTGTTGTTGTTTTTGTTGTAGTTTTTGTAGTTTTTGTAGTTGTTGTTGTTGCTATTCATTTTCATTTTCTTTTCAGTTTATTTGACGCTTGCGCTGCGCTTCCCACTGTTTCCGACTGCGACGCTTTTCTATATGTAAATTTCTCCATTACAACAATAGCAGAAAGGAAAAAAAAAAAATGCTGGCGCTGCTTTAGTTACAGTTGTTTTTGCTGTTCTTGCTTTGGTTGTTGTTGTTGTCGCTGCTGGCACAATTTCTGTTGTTGTCGCTTTGGTGACGACAACAACAACAACAAGAATATATTGCTGGTGACGTATTTGCATGTCTGCGTTTTGCCTGCTTCTTCTTCTTCATCGTTCTTTCTGCTCGGCTTCCGCATTTCGAGTTCCAATAAACTAACCCCGCAGGGCTCCAACCCTAAACTAACTAACCCCTCATCCCTAGGCAGCACTCCCGCACCCTCGCATCAAATAGAAATAGAAATAGAAAAAAGAATAATAATAGATTATACAGTGGTCGCTCGCCAGTTAAAATTGTCCACCAATTAGATGACAATTATAAATGCATTAATGCTTTTCAATCAAATCTGAAATCGAACCCTCAATCATATCGAAAATTATTTTTATATTTTAGAGAAATGCTAAATTTTTGTATTAGTTGGAAAGTATAACTTTCGAGCACTCAATTAAATGAGCTCAAACTTATTATTACAAACAGTAACTGAAAAGCTTTTAATTATTAAATTCAACTGATATTATAATCATTAGTTTTTGCTTTTGTTGCATGGAGAAATAGTAATTTCTCAAATTCTCAAATTATTTGCTCATTAAAGTTACATCTGCCAGCGAAGAGTTCTAGTTGCTGAGCGTGCACTGTATTTCAATTTGTTTATGCCGGCAAACGCTGAAGCTTTAGGTCATAGAACTTTTTTCAGTGTTTACAAGCACACACACGCACATACGAACGCCCGCTCTCCCTCTCTCTCACACACACACACAGACACACACACGTACGTGGCGAGCTTTCGTTGTGAGATTTATGCGTTGTCGTCGTTGTTGTTTTCTGCTGTTGCTTCGTAAACTGCATTTCATGTTCGTTTCTGCAGGCGGGCGCGCCTTGTCTGACAGCGTTGCTACCCCACCCCACCCACTCCAGAACAGCAGAACAGCAGAACACCCTCCAACCCTAAACCCCACCCCCAGACTCATGTTATATTATGACTAGTCGGGCCCCCCAACTGTTTTGGCTGTCTAGCACCCTTAAATCTCATTTCTATATCGATTTTTCATGTTACATTCTCATGCATTTGCCTTGCTCGGAGTTGTTTTTGTTTTACTTTTTTTTCCCATTTTCTTTTTTTTTTTTGGGTTTGGTTTTTTTGGAGTTGCGGCCCAGTTTTCATGTCCTGTTTCATGTTGGCTCGTTTGATGCTTAAAGGCACATTCACAATTATTGGAAAAATTCAATCACACACACACACACACACACACACACTGGCTGGAGTTGGCAAGTGTTGGATATATATTTCAGATAATAATTTGTTTGGTAAAAATTCGCAGGCTAGTTGCCACGCCCACTAAATGAACAATATGCTGAATGCCATGCATTGGCCATGGCTAACAACGCGTAGCAAAAGCATTTATATAACGGGCCAAACCATTTTATACATCAAAGTGTTTAAATAAACAACAAATACAACAACAACAATAAATAATAAATAATAAATAATAGAAAATAAACCTTTATAAAATAATAATTATCAAACGAAATTCATTGGAAATGCTGTTTTGAAGAATGCGCCTAAATGTCTTCCGGAATTAATTGTCGTGAAATTTTCGTATTTTTGGAAATTTTGATTTGGAATCAAACAAAACAGAGAAATCGACAAAACAATGAGCATAACAACAACACTGGCAACAGTAACAGCAAAGGCACCAGCAGCACCAGCAACACCAACAACAACAGCAACAACAGCAACAACGGCAGCAAACAACATCATAAAAATCACAGCAAACGCAGCAACAACAACAACAACAAAGTCGCAGCGAAAGTGCTAAAAAATCAACAGCAGCAGCAGCAGCAGCAACAACAACAAAAACAACAGAAACAAAAGCAGCAGCAGCAGCAGCCCAAAACTTCAATAAGCAACAGCAACAACAATTTAAAATTGCACAGCCCACAAAATTTGCATGTTCTGCAAAAGGGCTAAAAAACATACAAAACTTATTAAACCAAGTAAACATCGTAAAAAGAATTCAAAAATCGCTTTAAAGCTTACAAAATAATTATTAATAAATAATAAAAAAAACCAACAACATTTCTATATAAATATATACGCGAACAAGTGTCTTATTAAATAGTTAAATAGTATACAACAATAAAACAACATTAACCACAAAAAATATTAAAGAAGCTGAAGAAGAAGAAGCATACAACACACACAGAAGTTTTAGTACCTACAGGCCTGAAGACAACGTTAGAACTATATATACACACAGCAAATATATATATATAAATATATATATATATATATATACAATACATATATACATATATATATCTATATATAGTGAAATAGATATTGGCAAGAGCAGAGCAAAAACAGCGCTAAAAACACGCCCCCTGCCCCCCCACTGTGATATTAGTAATTTCACATATAAAACAAAAACAGAAACAAAAAACAACAAACACAACAACAACAAAAAGAAAAGGAAACTCTTCAAAGTGCAATAAATGTAAACCAGAAAATAATACAAAAAAAAAAAAGAAGAAAGATTCCAAATTGTAATACACTCCCCCCAAAATCCCCCCCTCTGGTTGCGGGCAAGAAAAAAATCGACGCAACAAAATTTAAGTGCAGCTCTACAAAAAATTCAAATTGCAATAAAGATATTAAGAAAAAAAAAGAAAAAAGCGTTTGTTTAAAAAAATAAAAATAAAACAAATCAATTGCTGCAACAATTGTATTTAGAATATTACAATTAAGTTAACAGCACACCAACACACACACACCAGCAAGTACACACACACACACACACACACACACAACACTGGCTATGTAGTGGCTCGCAAGTGAGTTTTTGGCGTGTGTGTGTGTGAGAGTGGGTTTCTTCAACATTTACACTAATTACAAAATTGAACAATAAATATAATAAGCCACAAAAAAAAAAAACAAAAAAAAACAACAACAAAAACAATCAACAATCGTAAAGTTTTGGGTGGCGAGCGCTTCGACCTGTTTTAATTATGTATACGCAACGTATGTTTGACATGTGGAGCAGCGTCACTTCAAAACTGGAAGCACACGCCAATAACCTGGGTCAAAGCAACGTCCAATCGCCTGCGGCACAAAACAATTCAAGCGGTTCAATCAAAGGTAATAATAATGCTCCTCCCCACATGATAACCCTAACACACACATCAATACATCGATATGCATTGCATAAAAAATGCTATTTATAATTAATATTAAATTTAAGCGATCTGTTTTTTTTTCCCCACTTCAACTCTTAAGCATTGCTTTGAATAAACTGTACTTGTATGTTGTAAGCAGCTCTTTCCAAGGGTGCAGCTCATTAATTGTATAATAATATATTAATAATATATTTTATTTAGCCAAAAAATACACAAAAAGTACAAATTAAATAAAAAAATTTAATTTAAAAAAAAGGAAAAATATATGGCATTTCCGAGGGGTTTTGAATTGCAAAATCAATTCAATATTGAACCGGATTCGAAACATTTCAGTAGATATCAAACGTGTGAAGGAAGGAGGTATAAAGAAAAAATTAATAAAATAAAATGGTGACATTTTTATACATATTAAGGATGACTCACTTAAATGACACTTGACCTGAGCGAATTAATTTTCTGTTTAAATTATAACTATAATAATTATTGTAGTTATTTATTTGAAATTATAGAACAAATATCAGCAAACACAAAACAAGTTACAATTCGAATCGTAATCTGAAATAAACCGGAAACTGTCATTTTTCTTTTGAAAACTCAAAGAACTTAATGCAACAAGTCGGAAATAAACTAAGTCTTGAACCAAAATTCTGCTTGAAGTATGCCAAAAATAGGTTCCCAAAATGAACCCAAGGAAAGTTCTGCGAAGCAAATAGCTAGCCAAATTTGATAGACTTTGTTGACTATTTAAATGGTTTCTTATATTCATTATATATATATATAAATATTTATTATATGCGTAAATAATATTAATTTAAATATATATATTAATTATAATTTTGAGTGGTCATTTTATGTTTTTAAAATGTTTTTAAGCAACTGAAATACTTAATTGAAGTTTCCAATTCCTTAGCTGAATACCTTAGCCCTGACTTATTAAAAATTAAGAATTGGTTTACTTTTAATTGCAGAAACAAATCAGTGAAGCTGCTTTTTGACACTTTTATAAGTTAGTTAGTCAGTTGGTCTGTCAGTTAGTCGGTTAGGTGGTCGCTGGGTTTGTGTGGCTTGTTGGTTGGCTGGCTGGCTTGGTCAGCTTGGTCAGCTTGGTTAGCTGATTGGCCAGTGGCGAAGTAAATTAAGCTGCTGCCGCGTCCGCTGTTGGCAGTGAAAGTCACTTGAGACTGAGACTTGGCGAGTTGAGTTTCTCAAGCGGAATTATTGTAGGGAAATCCATGAAATTCGTAAATGAAGAAAGACGCAACACAGCAACAGCAACAGCAACAGTAACAGCAACAGCAACATATATTCATTACGAAACACAAGCTATCTCTCTCTCTGTTTTTTTCCTCTCTCTTTCTCTCTCTCTCCATATATCTCCTTCTCTGTTTGTATGTGTTTGCATTAACAATTAAACTAATTCGACATGGCAATCAATTTGCTGACTAGTCACCTCACCAATAAGCCTACAATAAAAGACACCCTTTTCACATAGCTGAATCACACACAAACACACACACACACGCACATGATTACATTTGTAATACACACACACACACACACAAACAGTTAAAGCAACTTGCAAATTAAAATTCGCGAACCAACAATAAAAAGCGATATTGTAATGCCAAAAAATGTGTTTTTCTTTCTTTTTAATTTTTTTGGCTGCAAATAAATTTATATAAATATATGAATTGGTATAATATATATATATATATAAACAATTTTAATGGCTACGTATTGTGTGCGTGTGTGTTTGTATTTAAAATATAAAAAAAGTTGGCAGTTTTTCTTTTTCTTTATTTGGTTGATGTTTTTATTGTATTGTATTTTACACGATGCTTTCGATTGCGTTGGCAAATTGAGTTTATTTTTAGCTCAATGCTTATAATGCCCAATATCTATATATGATTACATATGTATGTGCGTATATATAATATTCAATATTGTATAAGAATTAGTGCAATTATTGCAGAAACTAATGCCAACAAACACCTCCTCAGCTCGACTCAACCCGACTCGACTCGGTTTGCTTCGCCGTTCGCTCTTATCTGCTTTGGGGCCAGAACTTTGCGTTCTTTGACCTCTTGACGGGGTCAGCGGCCCAAAATGAATAATGAGCATTTGTCAGGCTTTTCGCTTTCGTTGGTTAATGTGTATTTTTTTTCTTTTTTTTTCGGATTGGGCATATCAACGCCAGGACGCCAGTCATAAATCTTAATCGTCAGACCTCAATCTCGGTGGGTGTTTAACGAGTGAAAAACCTTTAGTCCGGGAAATGGCCAAGAAATGAGCATTTCAACCCCGTTTCCCACACCCCAAATCCAAACTCTAAGTCAATCAAAGCACTAATGTTGCGTGCGCTGACCCCAACAACAACTGTTATTAGCCATTTTGATGTCCTTATTTAAAAGCGTGTACCAGCTACAAAACACATCAAAAAACACGTTCCATAGAGTTAATTTTAGCTGGTCACATTTTAACACCTGAAAAATATACCCAATTTAAATGTAGTTCCTATTTATTTTCAGACACTTTTCTCATTTTTAGTGATTATATTTACATGGGATATTGAACGTTTATATAGAATATGAACAGCAACTTCCTTAAAGTTAATTTTAACTAAACAAAAAGGGTACCCAGTATTTTATCTATTTAATGTGGACTAGAAATTTTTTTTAAAAAAAATATTAATTAGAATTAAAGCTACACATTAAAATAAAAAGGTAGAAATTAAATTAAAAAAACAATTTTTAATTAAAAAGAAAACAAAATAAATATGAAATATTTAAAAAAAAACTTTTAAGTGTTGCTCTTATTTATATTGCAAAACTTTTCCTTGATTAAATTTACATGTGTTATTTAATATCTTTCTGGAAATTCTGGAATATCTTGATTCTATTATTATTTTTTTTTATTAAATTTTTTATCAAATATTTTGGGGGTGTGTTAATCTTATATAATTTATCCTTTGTTTATTCTTATTTCCTCAATTTTGGGCTTATACAAATTTTATTTACATATTAATGTTTGACTCTCAGTTAGTAGTAGAAATACTTTATATATATATATAAGTAGATTCAGATTATATAGTAATGCAACCAAATGTATATATTTATAGATGCTTCCCAAAGATAGTCAGTAAACAATAATATTATATTATTTAATTATATTTCTCTAAATATCTGTTATTTTATTAAATCTTTTCAAAACATCGATACGAAATTCGATAAAAAAAAATGTATTCGTGTCGAATTTCTAACATTTGCAACATACTCAATGAATTCACAAATGTTGATAATGGATTTCGGCTATAATTATTATAGTCTCTGAGACAATCAGACAGTCGAACGGAATTATCGTTTCAGAATATTATCAGTCTATAAATAGACTTTAATATTGTGTAATATAATTCTGATAAACTTAGATTATTTTGCCAGTCATGAAGTTTTTCTTGATTTCTTTCTGAACTATATTTCTATTTGTATTATTTCTGTTTGCAAACAATTTTCTAATATTTGTTCTGAAGTAGCCGTCGTTTTTTTCTGAAGTGTATTTTAGTGTTGTTAATGGAAAATGAGAGCTTTTCTGTGACTTGTTTTCACTTCGTTCCCAACCCCAAAAATGTCGAGCGACTAAAAGCCACCAAAAACCCGACACTAAAACTGTTTTTAGCTGCTGCTGCTGCTGCCGCTGCCGCTGCTGCTGCTGCTGCTGCCGCTGCCGCTGCTGCTGCTGCTGCTGCTGCTGCGTGAGTTGCGTGTGCACACGACTTGATGGTAGGGTTGACGAGGGACGAGGGTCGGGTGGGGGATACAAGCTAGGGCAGTGGTAGGAGCTCTGGCAGCAATGGGGTGCGGTGGGGTGTTGGGCGCCCTGCAGCAGCGCATGTACAACTCATCGAAATATGTATGTATGCAATTTGCGTTTATGACTTCCGCGACAGCAGCCGCAACAACAAAAGTGCTGGCAACTTTGTTTTATTGAAATTTTCACTTCGAGTTGTCTCGAGTTTTGCCAAAAAAAAAAAAAAAAAAAAAAAGCAACAGGCAACTCGTCGCTCGGCATTTGGCACTCGGTACTTCATAAAAAGTTAAAAAAAAATAAAAAATAAAAAAAACGCGACGACAATAAAATGTGAAACAGAAACAGAAAACAGATAGTACGGTACAAAGTGAAAGAAATGCGGCGTAAACAGAAAGCGGCCAAAAATTTAACAAAATACAACAAAAAAAAAAAATTATACAAAAAAAGCGAAAGACTCGTTGTCGAAAGTGGCTGGCGATCGCACGTTTCCAGCCCCCCCGCCCCGCAGGGGCTGCCAGCAGGCCCTTGCAGCAAAAAGAAAAAAAGAAGAGAAAAATAAAATATTAAAAGAGCGAAAAACAAAAAAAAAGTCAGTTGTCGTTCAACGTTTTTCTTGTTGTTGACTGCGCTGCGTTTGCTCTTTGCTGCTGTTGTTGCTGTTGCTGTTGTTGCTGATTGTGTAGTCTAGGCACACACACAGACATATACAGACACAGCCTGCAGGTCGTTCCCTGCCACCCACTTCTTCCCTGCATTCATAAAATCTACGCGCGATAGTGCGAACGCCTCACACCAAACTATAAAGCAGTTCTCTCCCCCTCCCTCTCTCCCGCTCTCTGTCTCTCTCTCTCTCTCTTTCTCGCTCTGTTGCTTTGTGTGTAGTGAGCTTCGACAAGCAACGGCACAATACACAATCATCATCAACGTCAACATAGTAAAAGTCTAAAATCGACAAAAAATTTAATTTTCGGCGGTCATTCACCCGAAAAGATCCACACACACACACACACAGACACACGCACATAGAAGCACACACACACAGAGACACAGACACAGAGACACGAAAAGCACACAGACAGCCGTCTCTCGCTCAGAGAGTGCGTGAGTTGCGTGAGTGCGTGCACGTATCTATGTGTGTGTGTGTGTGTGTGAGTGCGT